AAATTCCGCTTCGCGAATAGCGGTGCATCGGTCGAGCCCTATACCTTGCTTAACTTACGATTACGGTGCCCGTCAAATGGAGACGATGATAAACACGACGCTCGGCATGTCGCAGTTAATCAAGGCAGTTTGTGCGTTATTACGTTTATAATTTCGGGGCGCCGCCATAGCAAGGCACCTTGCGTGGATTATAATCACCTATGCAATAGGCGCAGCGGGCATTAGAAGCGATAGCCGACATCGACCGAGGCGAGCGAGCGTGAGCGAGCGGGCACGCGCCAGGTAATGCTCAACATGCAATGATTTAGGGAACTAGCCGCCCCGTCGCGTGATTGCGTAAGCGCGGCACGCTTCCCGGCCAAAATATGAAGGACAATCGATCGCGTCGAAACCGCTTGGCCTTTTACAATCACATAAGACATTGGAATCAGTGTAGGACCGCAAGGAAAGGCCACGCTGACTCACCCCCGGCGCGCTGACTTCTGTGAGATATCCCCTGTCCTCCCTCGCGCTTTGCTATTATCGCTATCACAGCGGCTTATTCCCTACTGATCCCTACGCCCAACCCCCAACCTACAACCCCAAACTCTATAGGCGCCTATAGTCATCCTTACGTCTATAATCTAGAGTCTTAACCATAACCCTATCCATAACATCTTACCTTAACTGCTACCATTAACTCTATGTCTTTAGCCCTAACTCAAACTATACCTGTAACCTTTTACCCCACCCTAACGCCTAGCCACTAGCCCTATAGTCTAACCCCCCCCCCCCCGGCCTCCCCATACCCTGCTAACCCCATATACCCACCCCTCTCCTCCCTAACTCTATGCAATGCACTCAAATGCCTAACCCTAACCCTAACCCATACCCTAACGCCTGAACCCTAACCCTACCATATACCTTAGCGCTAACGCGTAGCCACCTAACCGTATACAAGTCATTTCGCTTATACATAACCCCAAACCCTCCCCTAACTCTAATCGCTAACCGTGAGCCTTAGCGCTATAACAATATTACCTAATATTTCTTGCTTTACCCAACCGCCTACCGCGCGCGGTGAGAGTGTGAACCCTAACCGAGAGCCTTAGCCCCCGCTAACACATAACCTTATTTCTGCGTTTAACCCCACCTCGCCCTGACTCTAACCCTAACCGGAGCCTTAGCCGTAACAATAACCTTATTTCTTGCTTTAACCCAACCCTACCCCTGACTCTAACCCTAACCGGAGCCTTAGCCGTAACAATAACCTTATTTCTTGCCATAACCTTAACCCTGACTTCAACCTTAACCGAGCCATTCCTTGCCATAACAATAACCTTACTTCTTGCCATAACCGAGCCATGACCTTGGTCATAACAATAATCTTACTTCTTGCCATAACCTTAACCCTATAACTCTAACCATAACATGTAATCATTGTGTATACCGCACGCGCACACGCCAGCTCCAATCATCACGCCATATCGCCTCTATTCTGCAGGTTAAGGTGCCGACATCACGAGAGACTGGATTGCGTGCCAACGAGCGTGAATCGTTCGAATACGAACTAATCAACTCGAGACGTGAGATTCTTCGAGTATCTTGCAGGTTTCACACGCTATGTAAGTTCTTTCGGTGTCGGCGCAGGTGACAATGCATGCGCGTTCTCTATCTCCTCCACCCCCACACCGTTCTTCATCACAATTTCCTGTTACTACCGCGCTCTGACGCGTGTTGAGATGTGTCTACAGCTAGTATGCATATCTGCCAGTATGGTTAACAGCATACACGTAATCAACGGGAATTAGATGGAGTCTTAAGAAGAGTTTTCATCGGAGAACCGGGCTGGTAGCCAGATCGGATCTTCATCCGAGAGATCAGAAAATTCTTCATCCATAATTCCCCTTAATACGGTGCTCTTGTAGCTAGGCGACGCGTATATGTTTAGAATGTCATCGCCTTAGAACAATGTGTACCCGTAGCTAGTATGCATATCTGGCAGTATAGTTAGAAGCGTGCATTTGATGAACGGGAATTAGATGTAGAGTATATGAAGAGTCAACATCGGGGAACCGGGCTGGTAGCCAGATCGGAAGTTACCAGAGAGATCGACAGACGAAGCTAGGGGAAATTTTGTGGGTATTTAAAAGTCGGCAACCAGCATTATGGCGTGGCAATGCACTCTAAACTAAGAGCTTCTGTGTTTTCGGCCGGCTACCCGCGTGAAGGAAGGATAGTTATGGAGGAAAAACTTCCATCGGCCTCCGACGAATCTGTGTTGTTTCGCGAGCAGGAAATGCTCGGAAAATAACTAGCCAAAAGTGATGATGTGAAACGAGACTGACACACCGTCACCTAGGGTCGAACCCA